GGTGAACTTATTTCTAACTTTTTCTGACATGTTTAATTTTATTTATTGTTTTTATCGTCCTGCAGGCTCTGAGAGAAAATTAATTTGAAGCTGAGTTTTTGATAAAATCGTTAGATTACTCTAAATGTCTGTAAACCTGCAAAATGAGGGAAACTGTGTCAATTACAGACATTCTGTTCATGTGAGCAGCTGTCAGCATCTGTCATCCTCCAGACGCATGGAGCGTGTCTGAGCCAATCGATTTTGTTGACATTGATCAGCTGACTGATTTAAATACATCTTAACATTCATGAGGTACTTTACATTGACTGTTTATGGTTGAATGTGGGCGTGTAGAGGGTAGAACCTGAGGCGTGACCTTGTGCGCAAACTCTGAGGTGCGGCTGTGATCTATAAAATGAAAGATGCGCAGAAACATGCGTACGCACGGTTTTATAAATCTGAATTATTTTTGGCATACGCCATTTTCGCCTTTTGTCTGTACGTTCATTTTTAGTATGGTTTCCACGCAATCCTTTATAAATCTGACCCTGGTTGTTGTTGCTRGATTTTTTAATCTAAAAATGACAAAATATTGTACTTCCAATAGAGTAACTACACATTTCTTACAGTAGTATACATTAAAATCAGGCCTAGTTAGAGAAGCAGAAATCATAAAGTAATTCTAAACTCATTTTTAAGAATTTGCAGGGCGATAGTTTTACTCTTAGTTATCATTTCCCCCTGAGCTGTCTTTTTAAACATCTTGTTTTGTCTTCTTTCTAGGTCTGCCACTGCTGGTTCAGAGGACCATAGCCAGAACCATCATCCTGCAGGAGAGCATAGGGAAGGGGCGTTTTGGTGAAGTGTGGCGGGGTAAATGGCGCGGTGAGGAGGTAGCAGTGAAGATTTTCTCTTCTCGAGAGGAGCGCTCCTGGTTCCGTGAGGCTGAGATCTACCAGACTGTGATGCTGAGGCACGAGAACATTTTGGGTTTCATTGCTGCTGACAATAAAGGTAAGGTAAAAAAAAAAGTCACGGAGCTACGAAGAAAGATGGGTTCAAATAAAACAGTACAAGACTTTTCTGGGCTAACGTCATAAGCAGCAAATAAAGTATTCAGTTGCAAACTGAATTTAAGATGCCATCAGAGAATTAAGACTTATTAAAGTGTAATAATTTAAATAATGAAATGATATCCCAGTTAGATGGTCTTATCATCTCTATTTGTTAGTGTGGGTGGCTTTAATTACCAGAAAACCTTGAGCTCTTCAATCAGAAAAGCAGCTCTCTGAGCATTTATTTTGAATTGACTGGCTGGAAGTCAGTGTGGGGGCGTATTAGTTTATAGTGAAGAGCAGACACATACTTTCACAGCTCTCTAACACACACACTCACACACATACTGTATGTGAGTGAGACAGCCCAGAGGAGAGCAGATGTGACAGAGGCTTTAGTATTAGTATAATACAACCCGGTTGTTGCATCCACATAAACAGGCTTAGAAATAATCTGTTTATACTCTTACAGCTCATTGAAACACTGCCTTTTTTCTCAGAAAATCGGTTCACTTAAAAGTCTGCAGGGCTTTAGTATTTGACAGAGTGAATAAAAAATATATGAGAAGAAATGATTTGTTGGATATTTTACAAAGATATGCTAAAATGACTTGTGTTCTGCTTAATCATTATCACTAGTCACCTTACCTTTAGTACCTTACAGCTGCAACATCAGTCATAAAGTTTGGAAAAAGAGGCACGTTATCTTATAGGCTAGGCTAATGGCTAGCCAAACAAGGCTACACTCGCTGTGCTCTTTTAGTCCATGTCAGGATGCAACTAAATCACACTAACGTGACCCTACCACCACAAGAGTCACGTCTGTCCTAGACTGTTTCCATGACCATATCACTATTACGGATGTAGACCAAGCAAGAGGTCAGCGTGGCCAGTCCTAGATCCATTGTCAGACAACCAAGCTAAATTGGTACAATGGGCCTCACGTTGTGGACAACACAGTCACCAAAACTGTGACCCTGATACACTGCCAGTACAACCTCGCTACAGAAGTTTTGTGGACGTTTACAACCCTCCATGACCTATCATACGTATGCCCAAAGACCTCACCCAGACCCTGCTAAGACCATACTTTGATTTCTAAAAACATTCTAGCAGGGTGTCATTCAGTGTCAGGGGAACCTTAGGTCAAACCTTTTGGGACTGGGGACCCCTTACAAAGGTGAAATATTTCCAGGGACCCCCTCATAAACCCCATGCTGTTAATGCAAAAATAATTTACTGTTATTTTAACCCCTAAATGCCATGGTAATATATTTTTTGTTTGGTTTGGTATGTTTGTTTTACTAGTGCATTATTCCCCATATGCATTTTTCAAAATAAAAACCAAATTAACTATTTATTGACATTTTTTGAGAACCCTTAAGACATGGCTCGCGGACCTCTGGGAGTCCTGGGACCCCAGTTTGAGAACCTCTGCCTTAGGTGACTAAAATATTACAAATAAATGCTAAAATTCTTTTTTTTAATCCCAGATTGGCCTTATAGTTGTGGTCATTTTCTGTTAAATTAATTTAAGGGTTGTACTGCCTGTGGAAAAACCTCTGTAATCGGTAAGAGTAGGCAAAGGACCTTTGTTTAAAGCATCCTCATTTTTGATGTTCTCTCTTTTCTTGTGTGTAGATAATGGGACATGGACCCAGTTRTGGCTGGTGTCAGACTATCATGAACACGGCTCCCTGTTTGACTACCTGAACCGCTACACCGTGACCGTGGAGGGCATGATCAAACTGTCCCTGTCCACAGCCAGTGGCCTGGCCCACCTACACATGGAGATAGTTGGAACACAAGGTGAGAGTCACAGTCTRGTTTTTATCACAGGGTGGTTTTTTTTAATCATCTTTGACTGAAACGTTTGTGGAAATAAGTTTAAACTGAAGTACTTGAATCAAGCAGACACGTTTTCTAAAGCCCTCTTTGAGGTTGTGCTAACCCAGACTGACAAAAGTTCATAGAAGATTGGTGAGAGATTTTGTAAGTTTGCATGGTGTGTGTTGACTGTGTGACTCTGTCTGCAGGAAAGCCAGCGATCGCACACAGAGACCTGAAGTCAAAGAACATCCTGGTGAAGAAGAACGGGACGTGCTGCATCGCCGATCTGGGTCTCGCTGTCCGACACGACTCTGCCACAGACACCATCGACATCGCTCCAAACCACAGAGTGGGAACCAAAAGGTAACGCAGCTGAGCTCTTTAGAAACATGAAGTTTGGGACTCTCTCTCTTTTCCTAGATCTGTGGATTCTTGAAAATCAGACTCATGATAGTTTGTATCATGACTGTTCAGCTGAGAGTAAAATTAGCCACACTTCGAACAACACCGTGCTAAGAATGCTAGGCCTTGAATTTGTACTGAAAATACGACGTTGAGGCTTTGTAAAAATTTTTAAAACAGGTTGTTCATAGTGAATTTTAGGAAACAAAAAGAAAATGAGGAACAGAGGGGATTTGTTTGGAACTTCCTTCTATCCACCCTGAATAAATGTATAAACTCGAGTTCTAACACAAAGACTAACAGGCTAAGCTGAGGTTCTTCTTCCATGAAGCAGCTCTATTGTCCTGCATCTGTGTTTTCAGTTACAGGCTGAGTCATTTCTACCTTCTCCTCTCTGTCAACGCTCTCTGGTTTCATTTAAAAGAGTCGATCATCAGATATGGTCCAAGATTAACCTTCAGGGTGGATATAGCTCATTTGTCTCGCACCGGTGAAAACAACAAAAAAAACCTGTAAGCTTTGCAACATACAGGTGCTGGTCATAAAATTAGAATATCATGAAAAAGTAGATTTATTTCAGTAATTCCATTTAAAAAGTGAAACTTGTATATTATATTCATACATTACATACAAACTCATATATTTCAAATGTTTATTTCGTTTAATTCTGATGATTACAAATGACAACAAATGAAAATCTCAAATTCAGCAT